AATTTTGTCTCCCAGGAAATCGTGTGAATGCGACGATGACGACGGCGACCGGATTTCGGTGACACGAGATGAATTTTTTTGACAAGAGATAGTGTGTTAGCGATCGGATGAATGAATTGTGGACGGATGGATGGATGGATGGATGGATGGATGGATGGATGGATGGATGAATGAATGAATGGATGGATGACAGAAGGGTGAGAATGACCGGTCAATATTAGGCACCACAGACCTTTGCCCCTCGGCCAAGAATTTATCGCGATTCGGTGATATTATGGAGGTGAAAGTGACGCAATCAGTTCAGCCGAATCTGTTGTCAATCTCAATTATAAAGTGGGTACAATTGTGATCGCATATATGGTTAGAGCCATGTTGAATTTGTAACGATCACTAACTATAATATTCATGTCGAATGATATTAATTGCATTTGATTACACTATGAATGAGTTTTTTTTTTTTCCTAATCACAAAATTCATTCGAAAAAAAAAAAAAAGTAATATAATTATAATAATAATAATAATAATAAAGATATCTAACCTTGTTATGGTCTACTTAAATCTTGGTATAAAGCAATATCTTATCTTAAATCAATTATGCATTAATTACGGAAATAGATTTAACAATGAATCCTTTTTTTTTTTTTTTTTTCTTCAATTGCCAACGTGAGTGAATATTCGATCACTTTGCGACTAATTATACGGAAGGATAACCAAACAAAACTAGTCGAGTCGCACGAATTTAACAATGAATCTATAACGATGAATGCGTAAAAAGGGGTTCATGATCAGTTCACCTTGGTATGTACAGAGGTATGTGTACTTACTGTACGTATGCACTTTTTACGAGACTTCGGTAACCACGGAAAATTTTCATTTTTAAAATATGTACGCATTTGCTTTGAGAACTTTCCTATTTTGACGAGAATCTATTTTGGGGATTAAGGTTCACATACTGTATATGCGATTACAGTTGCGTGGTGGAAAGCATTCTAATAAATAGAAATTATCACCGAAGAAATGTGATATGACGGCCTGCAGTTCTCGAATCACCCGAGTATAAAGGATCAACCTCCATTGTAAGAATATTGGTTTATTTAAAGAGTTTTTTCGTTTTTCTTAAAACCCTCTCCTCTGCAAGTTTCCTGTTTACGATAATTATTGCTCCACAAAACAAAAAAAAAAAAAAAAAAAATTTCAAAAAATTTTTTAGATATATAGACCCTGAACAGCCTTTTTTATGACTTCGTTGAGACTTTCATCGCTCAGCGTTTCTAAACAGTAACGTCAACAACCCTATTATCCTAGCAATATTTTGATATATATATATATACTTATATATATGTATTCTGCACGTATATAATATATATATATATATAATTATAATCGGTTGACGTCGTCCGTTACTTTTTTTTCTTTTCCCTGGAAGAAAAAAAAATTTCACTTCACCATCCTTTTTATGCAAAAACATTTCCCATTAATTTCGACACAAACTCCTTTCAACAAGCAGAAAATTATCTATTTCCGTGTCTTTATCTTTTTTTTTCATTTCAAACGAACACAATGGACATAAGAATTTTGCTAAACCACGAAGATTTCAAAGGGCCCACAAGCCCCACTCCTAGTGCAGATTCAATTGACAGCGATCGCCCGTATGAATGTGGTTGGGGGAATTGCAGCAAAGCATTTTCACGTCGTTCCGACCTCGCCAGGCACAAGAGAATTCATACCGGTGAACGTCCTTATAAATGCGAGTGGAGTGGTTGCGGGAAACAATTCATACAACGCTCGGCGCTGACGGTTCACTACCGCACGCACACAGGGGAACGCCCGCACATCTGCGAGCACCTGAACTGTAATAAATCCTTCAGTGATGTGAGTATTTATTCAATTAATCAATTAACTAGTCAATTAATCAATCAATCAATTAATCAATTAATCAATCAATTAATTAATTAATCGATCGACCAATTCCCCCTCAACTTTATTGGTGATCCGTGTTTAATCAGTCCTCGTCGTTGGCACGTCATCGAAGAACCCACACAGGCAAACGACCTTATGTATGTCCGCACTCTGGGTGTGGCAAGACCTTCACCCGTCGTACCACTCTCACGAGGCACCAGAGATCTCACGATCCTCACTGGAAGGAATACAACACGTAGGCACCGTTTACTTTTTGATTTTCCTCTTGTTCACTTGGATTTCTCATTTTTTTCTGATCATTTTCTTCCGCATTTTCCAGTGCATTTGAACCACGTAAATCGCATGCACCTCAAGGAGCGTTGACCATATCTTTACCGGTATACGGTAGCAATAGCGCGTCGTCAATCAACCTATACAAAGCACTTCCGAGTCCTCCGACCCCAACAATGGATTGTTTCAAACCGATGGAAATGTTACCAGAATGTCATCAGCATCTTCACCGAACTACAACCACAAGCAGCATGCTAAACAACACCATCGATCAAGTCCTTCCCGCTATCAGTCATCTTTATCTATCCCCTCCGATGGATTGTCCCCTTTTAACATCAAGCGGTCGCATTACTGCATTTAAACCGGTCGTGAAGGAAATCTATGATCCCTACAAGTATGGATGTCCGTCACCTGTTGATGATCACGATTTGTATTATCCTACTCGTATTATTTGAACAACAACCTTGTTTCTTTACTCACGACACATTTTATAATATTGCTGGAACGATATTACCTATTGACAAAATTTCGAGAATTCATTCTATTTTTTTTTATTTCACTTTTTTTTTTTTTCCTTCGTATTTTCGCTTAAATTCCTTTATACATCACAAAAAGGCCAGGTCTGAAAAGGGATATTTTTTAACGATCATCTCACCCCCAAAACTTAAGAA